CTGTATGGCCTCACAGCAGGGATCATGTGGGAAGCCTTGTCTAGCAACACGCATTTTGTTAGAATCAATCATCGTTGGAATCCTTTGGAAATCGCCCCACAGTGGTTCTGTGGGAACGAACAAGTGGAACCCTTTTGGCACGGAATCTAACAGGTCGTATCGGACGGCCTCGCAATAGAGATTTTTTGAACAGCGCGACAAAGTGAATTCCATCGTAGCGCCTGGCACCAATAATCTTTTTTGAGGAAACACCACAAACGGATTGTATGTTAAAGCCTCGCAAGAAAAATCCGTTGGAATACAGCACGAAGGGATTGTACTGGAGAGCATCGCAAAAGGAATCCCTTGGACAACGCTACGACGGTCTCCTTTTCGAAGTATCACGAAGCGGGATCCTTTGGAAAGCACCACACAGGGATTCCATGGAATTGGAAAGCGCCACTACAGGGCACCTATTTGGAAGCCGCGCAAAAAAAAAGGAACCCATCGGAAAACACCACTGAGGGATGCCATTGGAAAGCCTCACGCCAGAAAACCGCTTGAAAGCACAACTAAGGGCTCCGATTGGGAAGCCGCGCAAACAGTTCATCCATCTGAAACTACAAGAGAGGGGTTCAATCAGAAAGCCTCACACCATGAATCGTTTGGATAGCGCCGCAGAGGATGGCAGGACCCCTTTGGAAAGCACAGAGATTATATGGAAAAACCTCGCAACGATAATCTTTTTGAAAGCGCCATATCGAGATTCCACGGAGAATCATCACACGGGAAATTCGTTGGGACACGCCGCAAAGGGCTTCTATTGGAAACTATCACAGCAGGAATCCGCTGGTAAGCGTCACAAGGAGATTCCATTTGGAAGAAGGGTAACAAGGAATCTTTTGGACAGCACCACAAAGAGATTCTACTGGAATGCCCAACACTCGAAATCTATTACGTAAACAGCATCACGCCGGGACTCTGCTGGAAAGTCTTACAACAGGAGTTCGTTGGAAAGCACCACAACGGCATTATATTGGAAACCGTCACAGCGGGAATCCGTTGGGAAGCACCACGGGGGGATTCCATGGGGCAGCCTCGCACCAGAAAACCTTGTTTAAAACACCACTGAAAGGCTCTCATTTGACAGCCGCACACGAGAGAATCGATCGAAAAGTATCACAGAGGGATTCAATCGGGAAGCCTCACAGCAGGAATATTGTGGATAGCGCCGCAGAGGGATTCTATTGGAAATTGGAAAGCCTCACGGCAAGACTCCTTTGGAAAGCACACAAGAGATTGTATTGGAATCCTCGTAACAAGGATCCTTTGGAAAGCACCACGACGGGATCATACGGGAAATCCTCACAATCGGAATCCTTCGGAACGCGCCGCAAGGGGGTTTTATTGTTCTAAAGCATCACAACAGGAATTCTCTGGACAGCACAACAAGGATACCCCAAAGGGCAGCATCACAAAAAGGAGCCCGTTGGAAAACACAGCAAAGAGATTATATGGGAAAGCCTCACATTCGGAACCCATCGGGAAGCACCACGCAGAGATTCTATATGATAGCCTCACAACAGGAATGAACCAGTTGGAAAGTATAACGGCGGCATTATATTGGAAGCCGTCACAGTGGGAATCCTTTTGGAAACACCACAAAGGGGATTCGATCGGAAGTCCTCACAGAAGGAATCCGTTGGAAAGTGCCACTCAGGGAACTATATTGGAACGCCTTTCATCCGGAATCCATTGGAAACACCTCAAAGGGATTCTATGGGAAATCCGCACAAAAGGATCCCATTGGAAAGCCCCACGAATGATGTTTCCCCCGCCCCACCCCACCCCCCCTCCACAAGAAAGAGTGCGTGTTGTTCGGGGGAGAGAGAGAGAGAGAGAGAGAGAGACAGACAGACAGAGAGAGAGAGAGAGAGAGCACAAACATAGAAGGAGGAGGATGAGCAAGGAGGAGGAGGAGGAGAAGGAGGACGAAGAGGGAGGGTAGAACGAGGGGCTGGAGGAGGAGAAGGAGAAACTGGGTGCAACACCCCCCCCTCAAAAAAGACGGACGGGGGGGGGGGGGGGGGCGACGCCAATTTTTCCCTACCCAGGCTCTGCCTAGAAGGGTTCTTACTCTCTGGGTTTGAAGGGGCCAGGCAGTGGAAAGCGCCCCGGGCGGTTCCCCCAGTATCCGCCCCGCGGTTCCCCCAGCTACGTCCCCTTAGCTTAGCGTCGCTTATCTTACCTTAGCTCAGCTTAGCTTAGCTTCATCTTAGCTTCGCGTAGCTGTAGCTTAGCTTAGCATATCATAGCATAGTCCAGCATAGCATAGTATAGCGCAACATAGCATAGCATATCATAACATAGCATAGCATAGCGCAGCATAGCACAGCATAGCATAGCACAGCGCAGCATAGCATCGCATACCATGACCTAGCACAACATAGCGCAGTCTAGCGTAGTATAGCGTAGCGCAGCATAGCGCAGTATAGCATAGCATAGCAAAACATGCGTGTGT